CTTTAAAAAAAAAAATTAAAAAAAAAATTGTTATTAAGATATTGGAATGAAACTTATCTTCAATTACTCGTTATGATTTATTGTTTCAAATCAGTCTTGTAAATTTATGAAAACAAAAAAAAAATTTATATTCAACAATTTTATTGAACTTAAGGCCGTTTTATATGAAAAATTACATAACACATGTAGGTAGAAGTTATAGCTTCATTTCACCACATCTTCTCATCAGACTTCTTCAACCGCGGTCGCTGGGATATAAACCAGCGACTTCGGATTACAAAACCTGTGGTCTACCCACTGAGCTAAGTTCGCTACGTAAACTGTTGTTGCTTTTTCCACTTTTTTCATACATATGTTTTTTTGAAAATTTTTTTATTTGTTTAAATGAAATGAATAGTTATAATGTCCTGAAAAATAGCAATTTTGAAATAGATGGGGTGTCTCATAGCTTTCGCGCAAAAAATTTAAAACCTACTTATAGTCTTGCTTAATTTATTTGATATGCTACTGCATTGCGCGTCCGCTATACCTATGACGATTTGTCAGAGATCCCATCCTTTTCAAACATGCTATTTATTCTGAACACTTAAATGACTTAACTTTTTTGGAAATATACTTTTCGTTTTAGTTAAACAAATAAAATAAATTTGTTGATTTTCTTTTTTATAATTTCACAAGACTCGTGTGAAAAAACAATATAACAATTAATAACTGTTATGAATATTTCAGTTGATTTATCAAAGCTGGAATAATGGTTGTTTTCCTTTCACTCTATAAAAAGTTGTAAAAATGCACTTTCCTGAACATTTCACGTCAAGTGGAACATTTCTTGAATTTCCCTTTGAGTAGAACGATTTTTTTTTAAAATAGTTTCTGTTATTATTAAAGCTGTGTTCAATCTACGAGTTAAGAGCTGGGTTTCATTTCTATAATATGTTTTCTCTCCCTCATATCAAATTTCGTTAAAAACCAGTAAAAAGAAGGGATTTGTATTTTTTTTTGTTAATTTTAAATGTAAGGTTTTGGCATACATCCACATATAAGTACTCCATTTTTACGTTACTTAAAGAATAATTATAATGAAAATTTGTGAAATTACTTAATATGCCTTTTGGCTCAAAACTATTTCAAAGGATTCAAAAATCAAATTTGTTGAAATCATACAAAGAAATCTGTCAAACGAAAAATAAGCTGCAGGACATGCCATCATAAACGGATGCTGAAATATAAAAATGCACACATGCACAAATATCTACTTATATTTTTGTAACACAGATACATACATATGTATGTATGTATGTTTATGACAAACATTTTCTATATTCGTATGTATGCCAACACACACATTTAGCTACAATAAAGTATAGTAAAGTACTAACACAAGCAACTTAATTATTAAAATAAAATAATTATGTTGTAAAATGAACACTATGCTGTATAAAAATACATACAATACGATAATTTGTTCCCCGAACCCCGACACATTTGTTTTATGTTTCCTTCATATAGGAGTATCGAGTGAAGTCTAGACATCTATTTTGTGAATTTCTGTACTTTTGCAAGGATTAGGTATGAGGATTTCAGCAGCGATGTGTTGAGAGACGAACACCTGAGCTCTCTTTAACACCCAACATTCTTCTCCGATTTATTCGTCGATCGTGTAGATTTAAAACGGATTAAAAGGACCACGAAACAAGCCTTAGGACAGCTATACCGTTAAAGTTCTGCCTACCAACGAAATCTACTTACATATCGCTGCCTTAATATAGAAAGGCCCTATCTGACATCGTCGCTGATATAACTACAAAAAGCCGTAACTAACTAAAAATCGAAAATTTACGTTTTAATTGATTATGATGCATTTGATCGCATTATATGGCCCCAAATCGTTTTATGCAATAAAAGATTTTAGTTAGTTACGGCTTTGTGTATTTCAGCGACGATGTGAGATAGGGCCTTTCTATATTAAGGCAACGATATATAGCCTCCAAGCAGAGTTGCACGGGTGACAAACGGGCTCGCTTATCTGCATAAACAGCCTTTATTTGGTATTGTTTTGGAAATGCATAGGCTTCACATTAACTTTATAAATTTTTATTTGTACTGGTTGATTCTTACAAGTGATGGCATAGCAAGGAAACATTTTGAATGCCAGAATGAAATTTAGGGGGGGGGCTCGACCCTATTAAGCTGGCACTTCAGGGTACTATTGTATATATATATATAAGGAAAATTTGAAAGTTAGGGGGGGGGGCGAGCACCCCCCTGCCCCTACCTGGCTACGCCCATGTTTGTATGTACATATGAATATGAAAAATTTATTAGATTACCAATAGAAACATCGGCCGAAAAATAGTAAAAGCATACACATACATATATATCCAAAATGTGCATATACACATAGAAATGTGCACCAGTTTTCATTTTATGTACTTCAAACGCGCACATTTTAATTAAAGTTTTCGCAGTTTTCTTGATTTAATTTATTTTTAATTTTTTTAACGTCAAAGAAAGTTGTGGACAGCGCGTGAATCATGAAAATTACATTTCATCTGTTTTAATTTTTTTTATAGTAATTCCTCGCGGCGAGTATTTTTTCCCCTTTTACGTTTTGCTTTCGGAGCTTCCTTTGTGCATGTGTGGACATATGTATGTATGTATGTACATAAATTTGTTCGTACATATGTATGTACATATATGTGTGTATATTTAGTAAATAAAAAATTTGGCAAGAAAAAATATTCAGACTAATACTAACCCACTGGGGGAAAAAAGGTAAGCACTTTATGAGATAATCCATGTTTTCTCTCAGCTTTTAGCAGAAGTCGTCATCACGATCAATGTCATTTATTCGTAAAGCATAAAATGAACACCTCCGATGATCCTTAACCGTTGAAACACAATACCGACGAATGGCGGCAACTTTCGCCCAAAAATTTCGCTCAGTAGAACACAACTACGGCGACAACGAATTCAGCTGCTTATGACAAGGTACAATTAAAATTTTTACAAACAATAAGATTATTAATTTTTAACAAAACTAATACAGTATTTTTCTATTTCGATTTAAAAACTTGAGAATATCGCAGCGAAAAAATAACCGTTCGTCGTCATTGTGTTTCAGCGGTAAGGCTGGTGTGCAGCTCCCAAGAAAACGGTCAAGAAAAAAAATTGCCATTATTTCGTGTGTGTGTCCAAGGAATTTTGACAACTAATACTTAACCAGCCTGTTGCCTCGCTCTTTCCTCAAGAAATAATGGAACGGGCATAAATTTCTGTTGCAAGCATGGGTTGCCTTGTGCTCTTTTTTCACAAAAAAACTTTAGAAAACCGTAGTGGAAAGCGTAGCAAATTTCTTAAGAACTGCGTACTGACTCAAGAAAATTTTACACAAGAAAATTTCTTAGCCATTTCTTGTACGTCATTTTATATGTATCGTTTGCTTTTCTTGAAAGCTGCATACTGGCCTTTACGTTGAAAGTTGCAAGATAACGTGCCGCTGAAGTTATTTCGGAGCGCCGACTCTTCTTCATTCTTCGTACCTTACTTGGTAAAGCCGCTCAGAAGTATACCTGATACCAAATTTACATCCTAATTTTCTTCTTTCACAGGCGGCCACCTCTATGTTAAATTACGGGAGATTCGGGTGGGAAGTGGTACGGACCACTGGTAAGCCACTACTAGGCATGTGCTATTTTTTCCTACGGGGAAGGATGTTTGTGGGTGTGCATATTATAATATATATATGTTCCATAACAAAACGGACGGTTTTGTAGCCTATTGAATTTTGGTATAATAAAGTGCAAGTTTTAAGCGATTGGGCTACAAAACTGCATACTCAAAAACATTCTAAAAAAATTTAAAAAATTTTTAAATTTGTAATGTACTCATTATACCCAACCTCGGTGTAAAAGAAAATTCATAACTCAAATTATCGTAGAGTGCACCCCATAACACTTTACTTAAATATTGCGCAATACTCAGAGCTACCATTGTGATTTTTTTTTAATTTTTTTTGAGATGGCATATTTTCAAAAACTATTTTTTTTAACAAAAATTGTGTATGGGAAAAATTTTTCAAGAGAGAATTTTGATGTGTGTATGTGTGATTTTTTCAAGTTTTTTCCTCGCCCCGTTCTCGAGATATTTGGAAAACTATTAAGCCGATTTGTTTTTGCTTTTATGCAGTAAAGTTTTAAAAATTGTATAAATTAAGCTCAAATTTAATATTTATTTATTATTTATGCTTATGCATCAACCCTAAAAATTTTAAATATATCAAACACATGAAGTGTTCCATACCGTTTTGGTATGGAACACGCCATTACATATATATAAATAGGTACATGTCTGTATGTATTCATGAAAATATGATATATGCGCTCATATGTTTTTGTGAACCGCTGTGCGATTGCGACTGTTTTTTCGACAATCAAGATTGCTCCGAGCGTTGGGTGTTGAGTGATGGCGGAGATGTGCTAAGAGGGAAGAAAGTGTGAAGTAAACGTGTAGCTCTTGACTTACACAGCTATCACTGTCGCCGTTACCGTCGCCGTTACCGTCACCATCACAGTTGCTATGCGCTTATCAGCATTCACGTCTCGCGGTCGTTCACTGACTCCATTGGGCTCGCATTACAACACAAGCGCTCTTACACGTAGTACATCTATGTATCTTAAAAAAACAACAGCTTCGCAAGTGCAATAGCCATTCCTGACACTACTTCAGGCACTAGTCTTTTACTTTCTTCCATCCATCGCTAAGCGCGTCGCATCATGGGTGCACTAAATATTGGCCGCGGCTTTGATTGAGCCACTGACTGCTAGTTGCGGCGATCAGAGTAAATCTTTGAATCAAGCCGCTTCTCCCCATTCTATACAATCATACACAAACATACATACATATGTACATAAGCGCAAGTAAACAACACGCTGCCTGTGCCAGTCACCGACGCATTCATAAAAACTAAAAAAGAAATTTAACGCACTTGAGAGTAAGTGAGATAAGCCGTTTGAACTCGTTCTAGAAGCTATTGATAATGCAACTTTTCACTTTTCATTTAAAGTGGAAATTTGTTTATTCATTTGTGTCAGGATTTCCTGTAGAAATTGCTGTTACGTCGTGGCTTATTCGCTAGCATACGTGCAAGCAACGTAGTGCGTAATTTTTTAGCGCTTTAGATAAGCGGCGAGATCTTTTGAATTTACCGCCGACGCAAGTTTATCGCACGAAGTGTCTTTTAAACTTTTTTGTTCAATTCGCTGCCTCAAAGTCTGTGTCGCGAATGTGTCGCAATGCATTCACTGATTACATTTTCCCTTCAATATTTTATCAACAGTTCATACAAACATATATTGGTGTGATCCACAGAGCAATTAATCGGCGGTTTAACATTTCCTGCTTGTAAGTAAATTTTTGTCTGGTAAAAAAGCTTCTCCTTTCGTATTTGGGCTACTACTTTTTGTTCAGAAGATGTACCACTATCATATGTCAGAGAGCTTCCAAAATTGTCGAGGTCTTACCGACCTGGTCGGGGCATAGACTTCTTGAATTCTTCATGCAACATCTACGGCGGCGATGTGGAACTTATCAGAGGTAACCTTATGCGTTTTCTTAATTTTTTTTTTAGAATTTTGCCGCCGCAGCCGAGTTTTTAAATGTGCGTCTACCACACGGTACGGCCCTAGTTCGCCCCTAAATGGGTATGCAGCTATAATCTCCGAATCGTTAATGAAAAATTTCTGCTGCTTCGAATGGAAGACCACGGTTCATACTACCGCCATGGAAGTCATGCGATAAAAGGCGAAGGTAAGAAAAGCAATACAAAATCTGTGTTGGATTTGAGAAAGGATTGTGACTTTTTAAGATATCGAAAATCCCGGGATTCTTGCAAGTAATCCCGGGATTTTCGGGATTTGTAATTTGCACTGATGGCTATAATAGAAACTGCTTTTCTTGTCCAGTATTGGCTATGTTTCTTTATTTATTTAATAATTAATATTTTTTATAAATTTCTAGCTCATATATAACGTATAACATATAACACCGCGCGATAGTAAATTTTGAACAAAAATATCAATATATTCGCGAAATCAAGGGCCAAATATAGTAACATTGCGTATTTAGGTTTTCACTCTGACGTCAGTAATTTAAAAATGACTTAAAATATTCACAGAAATTAAACAGATTCAAGTTTCTGGTGCAGAAGGGCTGGTAAATATTAAAAATGTCATCTTAAAATTTTATCCTTGAAATTTCGCAGTATTTGTTTTTGAAAAAATTATATGTTAAGAGCTTATATAAACTCGATAATATCCTCGAGTTTCGTTCTTCTAACTTTGGCTGCTTAAAAACTACCTATTCGGCCTTGTGAATCCAAAAAATTTAAATTTTTTAAATTCTAAAGAAATTTCCTCTTGCATTTGTTACCCATATTTTTATTCTACATTGCATTGAATCTTTTTTAACAATTTTTGGAATTAATCATAACTTTGTAAGTTCAAAGTCCTTCAAAATAAATCCTGCGGTTAGAGAGAAAAAATAAAAACGCCACATAAAAAAGTAGATTTCAAACCCATTTATTATTATTTATTTCATGGCAAGAGAGTTTCTCAAACAATATAGAAGCAATATCTAAATCCCGGGACTAATCTCGGGATCCCGGGGTTGTGACAACGCCATCCCGAAAATCCCTGGGTTGGAAAAAGCCGAAAAATTAACATCCCTAGTTCACACCTATCGGCGCTGGCCGCACCAAAGTACGAATCTTATGTTAGTCTGCAGTAGTTGGTTCCAGTATACGTGGTAAGATCCATCAAGATCGAAAAACAAGAAACTAAATCACACCTCTGTGCAGAAAAATATGTACATCCAGTGATTCAGGGAAAGCTTCAATCCTACTGGCAGCAGATTCGCCATACGACTCTAACACCTGCCCTTTCTTCGAATGATCGATATATCGCATACCGTCTTGAAAAGAGGTACAACTCAAAATTACATGTTTGTCAGAAAAAAGCGAAAAATTAGGGAGAATTTAGCTTAGGTTTTTTTCTCAACTAATTATCACAAAAATTTGCTCCGGAGTTTGCTGAAAGGTAAGTAAAAGCTCTGTGTACATTTTTAGGGCATAATATCAAAACTATGAAATTATGAGTTGTGCGATCACGTTTTCCGTAGCTGGTACGACGGGGAATGTCACGCCGCTGAAGAGGAAAAAGATCCCGCCTGCAGGGACACGCTGCAATTGTCCGCAGCGCAAGAAGAGGGAAGTTCGGTATGCCGTTCGACTTGGTACATCCAACATAGGCCATGTATTCGCCATACGTAAACTCTTGGAAAATACCCCTGAGAAGAAGATCGTCACTCACCATCCATTTTTCGATTTTGATGGCACGAAAAGGAACTGACTATATACCAAAATGTCTAAATTTTGAATACCCGCGCTATAAACTAATATGGCTATGTGAAAATCCGTTTGGAAGTACCACCAGCAATCTTAGAATATCGGAGGACCTATTCGCGCCGTTCGGTACCAAACGAGGGTTCAGACTGGGCGCCTCCCTACCATGCGACGCCTTCAATCTGATGATGGAAAAGAGCTGTAGAACTTAATCGCTCTGGACCAATCGACATCATTAGCCTATATATATGTATAGTTTGAGAAATAATGGGGCAATTAATATAAACGCCTAAATGCCTCGTAACCATGTACATATCTCACACCAAAAGGGTCAAAAGGGTCACAACTCAAAATTACACGCTTGTCCTAAAATGCGAACTATTTCTTAGTACATGATAATCATATGGACAAGGCAGACTTTACCTGAGGTGTTTTTTAAAAATTATAACTGAAATTTTGCTCCAGCTTTTTCTGTTAAAAGAAATGCGGAAGTTCCGCGGTTGCGAATTCGAGTGCAAATATTCGCAACATTCCTACTCGCAGTCTATACGAATATAAATTTCATTAGTCAATGTGACGAATTCCAAATAAATTGGTCATTTCAGTATAATAAAGTCAACTTATATTTAGTAGCTTGGTTTTATACTATACACTATACAATACAATTATTATTTTTTAAATTATTTTTTTAGGTGGTCATTTTAAAAAAAGACATGATTCTTTTTATAATTAGATATAACTTTTTTATTTGTGAAGCCTAACACTTTTTTAGAAAAGTCCCATCATTTCTTAAGAGCTTTCGGTTTACAGTACACAAAATTAGTGAAGGTATAAATCAAAGCGGCGGCCGCTGTAGAGTTTTTCAGAGTCTGGGTTCAATCCCGGTTCAACTCAAAATTAACAAATTTATTGTTTTTTTTTTTGTTTTAAAGCTTTCCTAATCCCCTCTCTCGTTTGATACCTATATAAAAGTATTTGGCTTACGCTGCTAACTGAATTCACTTTAAATTTTTGAACAGGTGGCAACCCTCTTGTCTGCTCGATTTCAAAGCTACAGACCCAAAATAAAACACTGCTTTGCACGCTTATTCTCGTCGAACCTGTTTACTTTAAGCTAACCTTTATAATACTCATTGAAGTGAATAATTTTCTGAATAACTAAAAACATCATTTTTTTTCTTAACCACCTTTGAACAATCAATGAAAAATCGAAATTGTATGTAAACCATACAAAAATCAACCGCAAATTAAATAACAATTTGTTGTGACTGTAAAATTGTATGCGCGGCCAATATTAAAAGCCAAAATCAAATGCTCAACTTCAAATCGCACATCATTTGCATAACCCAAAACGAAAAGGTAGGACGCCGCAAAAACATGTAAACAACAAATCGCTAAAAAAAAACGCCAACTTGCGCGAAAGAGTGACGGGGCAGCAATTAAAAATCATTTTTCACTTCGGTCAACCATTTCACTCAATTTTCCTGGCACGACCATTTCGTTGCCATGTGTGATGGCATGTGCGCCCGTGTGTATTGATTACTGGTATAACGGTGTGTACATATTTATGTAGTTGCAACACCGAAACATTGCCACAAACCATGCAGCCATGCCATGCCGTACACACTCTATTGCAACTCAAAAATACCTCAAAAACAAAACCACACATCATCATCGCCATTTCAACGCCCATAACCGCTAACAACAAACGCAGTGTTGGCGCTGTGAACTCAAACAACCAACAAACAAACAAGCAAAGATGCAAACAAAAAATGTCGAAATTGCAGGAACAGGCAATAAAACATGCAGCAGCAAGTGCCAGGGGGGCCTGAATGAGGAAACGGCTAACAATCAGCAGCATACATATATACATACAACTGCTGCCGCCAATATATTCTGTGGCAGTGATCTGATTGTCATCACGCGTGTACAACTGTCGCACAAACACACCCACGCATGCATGTGTTCCATTTGGGCGGCAGAAAAAAATTGCGTTTTAAAAAATTGTAGCATATCTCAGGGGGCTCAGGCGTTTGTGTGTGTGCGCGCTTGTATGTGTGCATGAGTGAGAGGTGTATGCAGCTCATTCACACCTTCGCTCGCAGGCGTCAATTATTCACCAATTGAAAAATTACTCAACTGCGCATTTTCCATTTTTTTACATTTTTGTTTTTTAGCCTTTTTACCGCCACTTACTCATCCATTCTCGGCATTGCATTTTCTCATTTTTTTACTTCGTTTTGTTTTTGGTTTTCGTTATTTTTCTTGCTGGCTTTATTCGGTGAAATGTTCCACTTCAATAGCGAGCATTATCCGCTTTTTGTTGTTATTGTTTTTTCTTATTTTCCGTACGATTGCTGAGATGCGATATGAGTATGAATATGCGATCTCATTTTTTTCCATTGAGTATCACAAATCCCCATATGCCCTTATGCGCCCACATATGCACATACCCTTACATGTTTGTGACGTTAATATAATTTTTCGTAATTTTTTCATTGTTTTACCGCTCAGTGGGTGGCGAATTTCATCCTTGTTGCTTCTGCTAGCTGTTCGACACTTGAGCTTGGATTTTTTTTTTCGTTTTTTTTTTTCAATATCTTCGCCAACTTTTCACAGCAAATTGACTTTGGTTATGTTCATCCATGTGGTATTTTGTTTTTGTTGTAATTTCGTTGTTCTCCTTGCCGGTGTGTGCATGCCAGCTTTATCCTTGGGGTATTGATAAACTTTATTGCAGCAATTATTAGTTGGTGTGAAGTATTAATCAATTGAATTTGTAATCGGATGAGCGACGGAAGCAAATTTGTGGAGAAGATGCAGTTTCGTTGATATTTTATTTTAAAGTGCTGCTTTTCAACAATAACAATAACTAGTTATATGAAATCTCGATGCTTAGTTGCTCATCGTACTTAAGGCCTAGAGAATGTATTAAATGGCGTAGGTAATTATTACTCGTCTGCAAACTTTCTGGGTTCTTTGAAGAATTTAAGTCGTTTGTCGAAGGAAAGCGTATGTAACTTATCTATCCTCAATACGTCTGAGCCAAAAATGAGCCATCTCAGATTAACGAGCGCTGGGAAGGTTAATATAAGGGCTCTATATTATATCACACATATACTCCAGACAAGACAAGCTCGTGGATGATGCCTTAAGCGATGTTTGCCGAGTCCTTCTTCCTTCCAATAGGCATTGTGATTTCTCTGCTACCACCAGCGGGTTCCGAGTTGAATACTTTCAGAGCTGGAGCATCGGTGTCCATTCGAACGACATGACCAAGCCAGCGGAGCCACTGTATTTTAATTCGCTGCACTATGTTCATGTCGTTTTAAAGCTCATACAGCCCATCGTTCCATCGTCTGCGGTACTCGCCGTCGCCAACGCGTAAAGGCCCGTAAATCTTCCGCAAAATCTTTCTCTCGAATACTCCAAGAGCCGCCTCATCGGATGTTGTCATTGTACATGCTCCTGCGCCATATAAAGGAACGGGAATGATGAGTGACTTATAGAGCAAGAATAGAAACAACAACTACAAAAGTTATTAAGGGTCAAAGTTCAAGCTAAACAATTTTGTCAATCAAAATTTTTGGAAAACGAACGGACGGATGTTCAAAATTTTGATCTCATTTGATA